GAGTAGAAAATGAAGGCTAATCATGTTTTGGGTGTACTATTCCTTTAAGACCATTCAGTTTGCAGGTCTACCCGGGACCTAAACAAATAAATGGTTATGAAGCTATTAAATCTACCTATTTATCATTAGGAGGTTCTCAAAATGTATTTCACTGCAAAAATGTCCTTCTAACCAAATCTTACAGTCTATCTAAAAAATATTTTTGATCTTGTTTAGAGATTGATACACAAAGCAACAAATTCTGCTGTAAACACCAGAATTTCCCCATTGTGGGACAAAGGAAATACAATTTTCTATTCTACTCTATTCTATTATATTAGCAGCAAGACAATTGAATTTAGTATGACTTAAGGAGACTCATTTAGAATTAGTCAATTTTCTTATGAACTGGCAGATTATTAGACTTCTTATAAGTAGGATCTTCTGAAAAGATCAATAATCTATTAGAATTGGGCTCTTGCTTTGTATATAATGGACACATTTTGAAGTGTAGAACAGCAAATTTTTTTAATGGACCGTTGTATAAGACCGGTACATTCCAAAGCCAGATGGCACAACCGTAATATATCCTTATCTGCTGTAAAGCCCGTGCCATAAGACAAATGTCGCAAAATCATTTGCATGAAACTGGGATTACTGGACATGGAAACAAAGTCTACTGGTCCAGTCTAGTGAGCTTCACATCGTAACAGACCAAATGGAGGCCTTTTATAAAGATATGAAACGTTCTATGACCTGTCAATAATGTCACACATTTCCATTTGTTGTGTTTCACTGGTTATGAGGGTCCAACTGTGCTCTGTTTTTCTAGAGTAACGGATATGGACGTGTCACCAAGATATGATGCTTGCGTGGATATTCAGCCCCAGCAAGGAAGTCAGAGGGAGGACAGCGGGGGGACGGACATAAAACAACCCGAAGAAGGAGAAGAGCTAAAAAAGTCAGCTATACATGAGTCAGATACCTTGCAATGGCAGGACACAAAGTCGGGGTTAGAGACAGCTGGACAGGCTAGAGGACAGCAAAGTAAAGGGGACAGGGTAAGTGTGAGGTCCGACCTGTCTCTCCGTGAGGCATCCAGCATGACAGAAAGTGAGCGCGAGTTGAAGGCGGGGCTGCGCAAGAGAATGAAAGGGGCAGAAGAAGGGGCGGGGCTTAGCGTAGAGTGCATGGAACACCTGAAGATGGAGACGGTGGAGCCCATGGAGAACCACCTTCCAGAGAAAGCAGCGCAGGTGTTCAATCCTGCTGTGACTGTCCTCCCCTCCCCCTCCTCACCCAGAGACACAGATGCATACTGGGAAATGGACTCGGAGAAGAGTCCCTTCTTGAATCCTCGTGACATGGACTACAACCAGGATGGCTACCAGTATGCGTATGAGGAAGAGCCCCGTTCTGCTTGTGAGTATACCTAATAACACTGTTCCAGGTGGGCGAGGCTTTACCGTGTGTCCTCCTTGATGTCTCCTTGTCCTATTTTTCCAAGGCAATCGGGTATGCTCTGGCAGAGATGCCCTGAAGTCAAGTGTGTCTTTGGTGACATCAGCACTCCTGTTTCCGATCCTGGTTTGGGGAGGGTATGTCTTTCTGCCCTTTGATGCCCCCCTGTTGGAGAACCCCCCACTCAGACTTGTCTACACTCTGCGCTGCTCAGTGTTTGCTGCTGTGCCCATCGTCCTCGGTAATCCAAGACCAGAGAACCTTTCCATTACCTGTCTTTGATGATTCTCGCTGTATCTTCATGGTTTCCAAACTCGCCTCTTGACTTTTCTCTAAACTCGCCTCTTGACTTTTCTCCAAACCTGCCTCTTGACTTTTCTCCAAACCTGCCTCTTGACTTTTCTCCAAACCTGTCTCTTGACTTTTCTCCAAACTCGCCTCTTTCGCTTCTTGACTTTCCTCCAAACTCGCCTCTTGACTTTTCTCCAAACCTGTCTCTTGA